GGGGGGGGGGGGGGGGGTTGAGGGTGAACCTGGACAGAGTCATGGTATCACATTTATAACTACTTGACAATATAAGAAATCATTCAATGTACTTTTCCTCTTCCCACGTTTACTTCCTGTGCTAGCTGGTGACCAGGGGTGGCAGGTCAGTGTTTCAGCCCTACCCAAGCTGGGCTCAGAATGAGATCTACAACTGTTCAGCCCTCCAGTATGTCCAACAAATGGAGATAGACCCAGTCACTGGCTGGATGTGGATTATAGATACAGGGCGCATAAACACCATTCCACCTCCAGGTAACACTGGGAATTAATTCCTTATATTTATAATTCCTTTTTTAAAAGTCGGGAGTGAAGGTTGGGTGTCAGGGGTCCACTTTATATGCGTGTGCAGTTTGATATTTTTGGCTTGCTTGTAAGTTACTGTTTGGAAAAAAACTATGAGACACCTAGCATTGTGATTGTTATAAAGAATGTATGCTGTCTTTTAAAATTTCTAATATATACTACAAGTTGAGTGGCATTATAATAACAGGACAAATAAAGTTTATACTGCACCAGTAGTAATTTATTTTACCTTATGAAGACAATTTTAATTAAAAAGAAAAACAATTGTTTTTCTAGTAGACTTTGGAACTAGTGCCATATGATATGTAATTGGATATATGTCATATGGCGCGCACATATATATGTATACTAATGTCATCACTTACTAATAGATAGTAAATGCCCCTTAACCCCCCATTTTGTGTTTTTTTTTCTAATGACTTAATACACATTGTGAAAGCCACTCCCCATAAGACTCTTATTTATAGAGACAATTGAAGAAAAGTCATTAGCTATAGCTGGGTTTGAACCCCTAATATTCACACCACAAATCTTCCAATTTAACATCTGTCACTTGTAAGTCATTTTTAAATTTTAGTTGCCAAAATACATAGTAAAGGTTTGCTCCTCAACTTAATTGATCTATTTTTTTCTGTCTCTCTTAATGAGCAACTTGTTCTATATTTTTTCTCTCTCTCTAGGTACCCAGGTTCAGAACATGTGTCCAGCCAAGCTGTGGATCTATGACATGAACAGGGACATCCTTGTGAGGCAATATGAGTTTCCAGAGAACATTGTCAGCAGGACTAATAACTTCCTCAATGATATTGTGGTTGATAAGTATGCACTGGAATGTGTTGTTTTCCTAGCAGTCATACATTGAACAATTCTTTGGAACTTTTTCATAAACATTTCATTTAAACTTTACTTTTAAAGTCATTGACAAACAATAAATTTGTATTACCATCTGCAACACTATTACCTATGTTAGTATGTTTTAATCATATATTTTTTTCACTGTGTAGTATCAAAATATACGCTTATTATGGAAACATGTTGAAAATGCAGGTAACCAATTACTATATGCCTTATTTCTGTATATTTTTACATTCATTTCAGATCCGGTTTTGCTTACATCACTGACAGCGGTAATGAGAGAAAAGGAGGCATCATTGTCTACAATTACAACACCAATACAACCCATCGCATTAACCATGAATCCATGTGGGCAGTAGACAACGCTTCCGCAATTACCATAAATGGCCAAGTTACAACACTCAAAATACCCTCTAATGGCATAGCACTGTCTCCTGACTTCACCACTTTGTACTACTGCCCCCTGAGTGGCTACAATCTTTACTCTATAAGTACAGAGGAAGCTCAGGACCCACTGAAAGCCAGCACAGTCAATGTCCAGACCGTCGGAAGGAAAGTATCTCAAACTGATGGTATGGCCATGGGTAAAAACAGTCTGTACTATGGAGCACTTAGCCTGAATGCTGTCTATAAATGGGAGAGAAGCAAGGATGTTCTTTTACAAGGCAACACGGAGAATGTCACCTTAGCAACCCAGGTTAAAGTAGCCAGTGACAACCAAAGAATGCAGTGGGTCAATGCCATGGCTCTGACTGACGACGGATATCTCTGGTTCATTACGGCTGCAAGCCATAAATTTCTGTTACACAAGATGGACTTTTCAGGTGTGAATGGTACAAATTTTCACGTGTGGAGAATCCAGGTGAACGACACCTCCATACTGTCCCCTGTGACCTTGACCTCGACCTTGACCCCTGAGGTTCCCAGTACAACACCTGTCACAAGTGTTGCAGGTTCCATACACACATCAATATGGTTCTTCATCAACCTGTGCCTGTCTTGGTACATACATGGGTTGGCAAGATAAAATGAGCATATGTGACACCCATCTTGATATGTGCACAGCAAAATATTCAAGATATGGACTGCTATCATGAACCAAATATTCTTTCTTTATATTGACACAATAACTATTGTCACTCACAATGTTACAGTGATCATGTGACTTGGATATCAGGTGCCATGATGACTTGGATAGGGAAGAGTACTGTGAGTAAATTAAATACGTTCACTTCTGTTACCAGTGATTTGTAAAATATAGCTAGGATTTGTATATCCTAGCTATATTTTAGTCTTATCAACTTATTGTTGGGTTTCAAGGTACAGAAACTCCTAAAATTTATCTGGCTGTAAGATGTTAACGTAAAATAAGATATATATTTATATATTCTTTCACAGTTCTAATTCAGACACTGATGTTGAAGAACTGTACAACAGAATCAATTAAAATGAAACGTTTTTCTGACCCTCTATTCTGTTATCCAAACTTCACCTGATAGTGTTAAACTGTGAACAGTCTATTGTTGTAAAATTGGGCATTTTTGCCATGGAGATGTCCTCCACAGGTGAATGTACTTTGATTTGCCGCATGTGGGTATCACGTCCATTTTGATGATTTGATATCACAGCTATCTGTATCATAAAGGTCCTGATTGGTTTCTCATTGATGTCTTTTAAAGGAACATATACCCATCCTGTTGGTTCTGTCATCTCGACTTGTTCTATCTCACTCAGATCATTGAAGTGATTGCCCGCTCGTATGGACAGCCTGCAAATAAAATAAATATATAAAACATTAGTGAAGTAGTAACATGTAATGCCAACTTATAAACAACTTTACTGAAGAATAATAATAATATAACTGAAAAAGAGTGACAAAATCATTGTGGGTTATTCTGAATTCTTTAAGTTGCTGACAGGTTACCAATGAACCATGAGAGTTGAAAAAAATCATATTGGACAATAGAGCACATGTCATTTATATACAGTAAAGGTACTATTTGTGGGAAAAGTTTCATTTTAATTATAATATAAACATGGAAAAAGGTGAAGATACTAAAGAAATAACCTACGTTCTACGTAAATCGAAAGGCAGTTAACAATCACTTGAAACCCAAAAAGCACCATAAGAAAATGCCCCCTTAGATAGTCAATATAAAACCATTTCTCGCTGAAAGAAAGAAAAAAAAAAAAAA